TAATTAATAAAGTATCAAATATGTAATATAATTGTTATTGAATGATCTATAAAAAAATATCTTGGAAAAAAAGTTTCAATAATAAATAAGTTGGGATGCTATCCACTTACCTGATAGATTCTTAAAGATATAACTTACTCCAAGTCAATTGCTTACACAATATGGCCACTCCTTAATTCCCTAATACCCAATGTAACACCATTGTTATTTTTACATACCCTTTAATTGAGTATAAACTCAAACTCTTTAAATTACTTGAAGTTAGTATTCATTAACCCAAAGGGCACATCCCCATCCTAAATCTATGTCACATTAAAAAGAAAATATTTAATATAAATTTTCCACAAATAGAGTATAATATTGAAGTTATACTATTTTCCAAATAACAACCCATCGAGCATATATAAAAAAAATTCTCAACCTTATCTTTCACATATAATATGTCAAGGTGAATTTAATCTATAGATCTCCACAAATATCTAATCAATATCCATAAATTTCAAGTCTCAAAGTAGAAAATAATTTACTTCTATACAAGCAACTTTTCAAAATAAAATCATCAGTCCCTTATGCAAGAGTTATTAACTAAAAGTAGTTCTCTTCTTGAACTTTATGTTCCTCTCATGCCACAGATTGGATGACTATGAAACTATCAAGAATTTAATATTCCACATCACCATAAATTACACACTATAGTTTCACTATATAACTTTAGCCGTAGTTAGTTACCCAAATGGGATAGGATTTTCTCTTAGACATTTTAACAAACACCTTGACTGTATCACTTTACAATCACTAACACAAGGTTCCTAACCTTCAAATCTCCTACCCAAAAATTTCCAAACATCAATATTTAAATTCATCAGATTTTCTCATACACAACTCCCATCAAGAATCAAATTTTTAAGACCAAAGAAAACCAATTCAAATTCTTCCTCTAACAGTAACTAACATACATAAGCGAAATTACATACCAAACACATGCTTGGCTCATGTTTCAACTTGATTAAACCCCTCTACTCTTCCATTTCAGTATCTACTCACGTTAGCAATAGTAGAAATAAGGAAGAGGAGAAGCTAGTGGTGCAAACATGGAGGAGATGTCGAATAAGGAAGAACGGGGGAAGAGGAAAGGAGAAGAGTCTGAATGTTGAATAAAAAAAGAGCTCAAATGATGGCACATAAATGAGGAGGAGAAAGGTCCGATAGCTTCCACGGTCACTAGGACAGTAGCAATGCTGCCGCTCAAAGAGAACCCTACGGTGACCACCACGGCAAGGGACAAAAGAGGAGGAAATCAGATATGCGTTGAGACATAAGGAAGGTGGGAATTATCTTTTTTCGGTGCACCTATGTCAGCAGCGATGATAGCAAACGGGGAAAGAAGGTAGAGGAAAAATCAAAGCTTGCTTGTTGACTCTATCTCTAGAGCTTTTAGGAGAATGAAGATAGAGAATAAAAAAGAAGAAATTGCCCAATTCTTTTTACTTTGCCACTCTCATCATGTTTATTTTATTTTATTTTAATAGAAGGACATTCTAGTAATTTTTCACGAAGATAAAGCAAGAAGATAAAAAAAAAAATCCACAAGGTCTCGTAAAGGCTTAAGCTCTTGACCCATTAGAAAAGTAGCTACACAATCTCTATTAGACTAGCTCCTTTTCTTGGTAAGCCTACACCAATATAAATATATATATATATATATATATATAATGTCATTACAATACCTTACCACTAGGTTTAAGTTTAATTAGATTCTAGGCCATTACAATTAGAGACTGTCCTATTTATTTTTTAAGAAACTCAAACTAACTAGTCTCCACTGGTTCGTGAGGAGGTAGATTAAGGGTACAACACTCTATGATTGTTAGTATTAGGGAAAACCGTAGATCACAAGTGAGTGAGTTAGCTTTGATCAAGTAGCTTCTCATGAGTAGAAAGCTTGGTTAGCCCAAGTTATGGATATAGCCACTAAATAGCCACCAATTTCATGTTGGAGGTATCAAGGGAGTATAAGGTTGGTATCGATCATACATTTCATATTTTAGCCACATGGTTGTTATTATGTGACCTCATGTGTGTATTATTGATCATATGTATGAGATGATATGTGTTTAGACCCAGCCATATGATTGTTAGTATTGTGGTTAAGGCAACCTTTGAAATACATATACTGGTTGTGAAAAGAATTTTAATTGCCATTTTTATCTATAATTAATTGATATACAATTGTTTAGGCTAGGTTAACCTTAGTTACTAAGTGATTGTACTCACCCATCATTCTTTAATATTTTAGGGACTAGCTCATTGGACTATTATCAAGGAAAACAACCGAAGGCATAGGATTTTGTGTAAACCCTACTAGTAGTCCTCATAGTTTAATTATGTGTATTTTGATTTGTTAATAGCCAACTAGGTTTACATGTGATTCATTTTGGATACTTGCACTATTGTGAGAAAATGAATAAATTGTGTATTTTGTGCCCTAGGATGTTTGTTAATGAATTGTGTATTTTGTGCCCTAGAATGTTTATGCCTTGGGCTAGCTGCATCTTTAACCTCAATTCTTGTTATTGGACTGGCGTTGGTTTTATTTGAAGTATAAATATTTTTTATGATTTTTTCGGAAGGTGTTACAATATCTAGTCTCATCCTACATTTATTATTCAATTTGAATTAGCCGCGAGCATGTGCATGTTTCCACAAACACTTTAATGTGTGGGATTGGAGCCACTGAAATTTTCTATTGCTTCTTCTTCTTTTATAGTTATTTGATTATGTTAGATTTAAATATTGCCAGACTCAACGGTTAGCTCTCTTAAAAGTATTTTCTAAATTTACATGAACTTGAATATATATACCATTCTAACTTTCTAAGAGAATAAAAGGTATGGTTTACAAGAGAATATTATAAGCAAAACTCACTTTATTATTAGACTTAAAAAGTAATTTTGCCCTTTAACTATTTGCTCAACAATGTCTAGCATCCTAAATTTATATATAGTGTTGTTTTCTCCTTCAATATTTGAAAATGGTGCATTGGCAACCTTGTCATTAAAATAGTTAATTTTGATTGTTAGTTAAATCAAAAATTAAAAAAAAATTAGAGAAAATTCCATAGAAGTACCCTATAAGAAATTTAATATCTATTAAGTCTCTTAAATTACGTATAAATACCAAGATACAAACATTATTTTTTATCCATGTGAAAGACTAAAATATGATTTTGACCAACTAATTTAACCAGCTATTGGGTAATAAACGAATTACAATTGTTGGCATCTACACAAATAAATAATTAAAGCTATATTACAGTTGCTTTACATATCTTTATACACAATTTCTAAGTCAACTTTTGAGATTTAAATTTTTTCTAGAAATTTACAACTTAATTAATGTACTTTTTATTTATAAATAAACGTGCTTTTTACACTAACTATAAATTTTTGAAGGGTACTTGTAAATTTTGGAAGTAGACTTATAACAGGTCACATTATTTTAGGGATTTAATCAATATTAATTTTTTTATAAGGTACTAATTTATAATTTTATGGATCATTTTCTATAAATTTTCGGGTCAACTAATAATTAAAGTTAACTTTATTAACTATAGGGTGTCCAAAGCACCATTTTCAAATGTTAAAGGGGAAAATTGTGTCACATGTAAGTTTAGGATATTGAATGTTTTTGAATGAACAGTTGAGGGATAAAAAATGTTCATTAATCCTTGTTCTTATAAAGCACGTAGTTTTAAATTGCATGCAGAGAATATGGTTTACAAAAGAAAAAGGAACATAATTGAATCTACTAGAAAATGATGTGTGAGAGTAAATGGTAGAATATTCTTATATAATCTTTTCATTTTTCCCGAATATATCATTAAATATTTGTCAATAATGGAGATAAGAATGCATCAATGACAGAACTAATACAAATGCAATGAATCAATCCTCTGATAGCATTATTAACTTTCCAATTCACTGCTAGCAGAGTGGAAATTTATGGAGGAAATGAAATGCGCAGCAAGATAAAGAAAACTTTTATAATTATAATTTCAGCAACAAGGGATCCTTTATGTATTCACTATACAACTCAAGTCAATGCAACTGAGGATTAGACAGTCTTTACTCGTTCCATATATGACAGACAAAGTCGTTGGAGCACTGAATATTCAGTATGAACTTTTGGCTTTTAGGGTCATAGTATGAAGTCAAACAGTTAACGCGTTCCATATGGGAGGCATAGTCGGTGGAACATTGAATGGTCAATATGAAGTTTTGGGGTCGTCAGATGAATATGATTAAATATTCTTAAACAATGAAGATAAAAAGTTACTGTTGTACAAGTTCTAATGTATTCTAGTTGTTTGAAATAAATTGATAAACAACTACAGAGGAGAAAAATTAAAATTTTCTAGCGAGGCTGGATTAAAAATGCCCTTAAAAATGAGTATTTATAAACAGACACACACAACACATATATACTTCTATTTAATAATATGAGACATTTTGTCAAATTAAAGTATTATGTTAAAAATATAAGACATTTTGAATCTTTTAAGATATAATTAATAAATTTTTTTAAAAATTACCCTTAATTAGGATGTGTCTGTAATAGATAATATTTTCTAATTAAGACACGTATTAATAAAGGATAAATATAAAAAAGTGTGTAATTTTATAGACAATTGTGATTCAGTTAAAAATGATTTGCATATTCAGCAATAACAGAAAATTTAGGGGAGTGGCTGCCCTTTCTTCACGCGCGTCCGTCAATTAATATGATCACCGAATTCTTTGTCCACCACTATGTATACGTTTGTGAGTAGAAATTAAATTGAGAAAATAAGGAAGAAGAGCGGAAACTGTGTCCTAATTACTCAGTAGACTTACATTGACCTGAGTTTCTTAATGCCTATAAATCTAACTTCAACTTGGGTAAGCAATGACAAGCCTTAACAATATTTTTTGATATATTTGCATTTGATTACAATGACAAAAATGCATGCAAGATGGAGACCCAGATGCTACGAAAGAGTAGACAAACTGGTTCGGAGGTGGTCTGGTTCTCCAGACAATCGTTTCCCATTTTCGTCCCAGAATGATGATGTTATGATTTATGAGTTTTATGAGGCTGCTCGTGATGAGAATCGATATGTGTACAACTTTGTTGGCGTATTGGACGAAGTTTCTGGACGAAAGCAGCTCGACTTGTCCATTATTATCGATCAAGTCACACCAGCTGGTGATTCGTTGCTTCATGTTGCTGCCGAATTTGGGAGGAAAGAGACCGCAGAGCTAATAGCTTGTTTCTTTCCAAAGCTTCTGTACAAGGTATTAAGTACACTTGAGGTAGTTTAATTTATTAAAATAACTTAAACGATTTGATTAGACACATATCAAATTTTATATATTGAAATCTTTATCTCTAATATTCCTTCTAAGTTTTGGGCTTACGTACGCTTTTTTTAGTGTTAGAGTTGTCCATTTAGTTCTTCTTGTTCTTCTTCTTCTTGTTCTTCTTCTTCTTCTTCTTCTTCTTCTTCTTCTTCTTCTTCTTCTTCTTCTTCTTCTCTCTCTATTTTTTATTCTCATTTTCTCATCATTCATTCTCTCTCTCTCTCTCATTTTTTTTGTTTTTATTTTTATTTTTATTTTTGTGGTGCAGGATCAAATGGCTCTTACTTCATGTTAAATTCTTTTTTTATTAAGTATGTTTAAGGGTAATTTACTCCACAAAAATAATTTAAGTTATTTGATTAGACACATTCCAAATTTTAGATATTCATAATTTATCCTTTAATTTCTAGATGTGAGATTTCTTTGACTTTTTGTTTTATTATTTCTAATGCAAGGGAAATATAAAAGGCGACACTCCACTTGATGTTGCTGCTAGAGCCAATAATGAAGTGATGGAGGCCATTCTGTTGACATTTGAAAATATTAATACAAGTCATTTGATAACATCAGAGAACAAGTTTGGAAACACGCCTTTGCATGAAGCTGTTGTCAGCAAAAATCTTGATGGTGTGAATATACTATTGAAAGCTCATGACGATGTTGCTCTGGCTCGTTATTGGAACAACGCTTATCCTAATAAATCGCCAATGTATTTGGCAGTCCTAACAGGGGATTTGGAAATTCTTCATTTTCTCTTGCAAATTCCATTCTCCTCAAATCTGACGATTTCGAATTGTCGAGGAAACTCTCCTCTTCATGCCGCCATATTAGAACGCAAACCTGGTTTGTATTTTGCATGCATGTGTTTGTGATATTAATTTGAGAAAATTAATGATTTGGTCCTTATAGTTTTAACTCAGTTATAATTTATTGCCTAAACTTTAATTCATCTGTAAATTTTCGAATAATTTTAATATTTATAGTTTTATTTTCTAAAACATAGGAAACCAATATTTTAAATAGTTAAAACTATAGAAATAAAGTTCCACTAAGTTAAAGTTTAAGGATCGAATTACATCCAAATCAAGATTATAAGAATCAATATACAAGTTAAAATTTAAAAACTAAGTTATAATTAGGTCAAAACTGCCATGACCAAATAATTAAATTTGCATGTTAACTAATATTTTGTGTTTGTATTTTTCACTTTCACTTAATTATATATGTTTGCCTTCATGTGCAGATGTATTGCAAGAGATACTGAACGTAAGAGAAGAGTTAATGTACCTAAGATGAAAATGAAGAAACTCCTCTTCATCGTGCAGCACGCATTGGTTACTTGGAAGGTGTTAGCATACTGTTAAACAAATCTACTTTGACGGCATTCCAAAAAAATTCAGAAGGCAATCTTCCTGTTCATCTTGCTTGTGAGGGAGGCCATGTTCAGGTGGTCAAAAAATTGCTTGAAGTAAAGTGTCCTTGGCTTGATGTTAGGCTCTGGCTCAACAATAATGGCCAAAACATGCTTCACATTGCAGCAAGGAATGGAGAAAAAAATGTGGTGAAATACTTGTTGAAAACCCCCAAAATTATTCATGATGAAACCATGAATGAGAGAGATGTAAATGGAGATACCCCACTTCATTTGGCTTCGAGAAAGCTTTGTTTGGACTCTGCTCCTTCCCTCACGAGACAAGAAGATTGATGTGAACCTTGTCAATGATGAAGGTTTCACAGCTCGAGATACTGTTCGGGTGCAATCTAAAATTCCAATGAGACATCAAGAGTATGATTTGTAAGTTTTTCTTTTCTTCAATGAGACATCAAGAGTATGATTTGTAAGTTTTTCTTTCTTAAGAATTCTGTTTTTTAAATATTTCAACAAATGCTTGTTTTATATTTATGACGCAGGTTTATTTCCTACTCCCTTCCTCATAACCTTACATGAGTACGCTTTTTTTTTTTTTTAAATATCGTTTCACTTTTGTGGTTTTTTTTTATAAACCCACCTACTCGTATGAGTGCAGGAGGGCGCAGGAAAGAATCTACTCCTTATATTCACACAAACTCTTAGACAAGCTACACTATTCAAAGCCCCTGCACTTCGTACTTTTTATATTTTATGGGGAAACTACAATTGTTGGCCACTATACTTTTAGCATGTTTTGATTTTAGTCCCTATTATTTTGGTTCCTCCCTTAAATTTCATCTATTAGTATTGTTCGTTCTTATTGTCACCAACAGAGTTAAATCTATTAATGTATACATAATTCTATTGCTTTTGTTGTTGAGTTGTAAAATTATGATGAGTTAGACATTGTATAAAAAAATAACTGTTAATTTTTTTTTGTCTTTCTATCATAGTCATCGCGTCTTCTTCCTTATGAAGTTTCATACATCACATGTTTAAGGATTTTGATTTGTTGGATTATCCACCCTTAATGGATTAGGCCTAGATATAAGCCTAATTATAGAATGGGGCTTATCAAAATATGAAAAAAAAAGTCTAGGTCGACATTAGGTGTAATATAACGGGACCATTGAGTGTAATATTCCCTCTAAGAATTCAAAGTCAGGGGAGGGAACAGCTAACATTCTCATGCACATTTAAAAAACTATATATATGTATGAGTGCATGAAACCAGAGCCACTCACTACATAATCTCTAGAACACAAACTCCCCTCACTTGCTCTCTTCTCTCTATGTGCATCTTTTGTGCAGAAAGAACCGAATTCTCCCATAACTTCATTCTAGTGTAGTGACCCATGCATCCAGTGTAGCAAATACGTATATTTCCTCCTCTAATCTACTTATATGATTTAATGTCCTGCTCGTTTCCTTTTGTCTTCTACTTATTTTTTATACAACTCATCATATTTTTAACAAGTCATGCATGATAAGAAGTAACAAAGTTTATGTGCAAGTTAATCACTATTAAATCATTATGGTCATATTTTAAAATATAGCGACTAAAATTACATATGAAAAAACTCAAGAGGCTAGGAGTAACAAAAAAAAAGTATATGGACTAATAACAAAACATGCTAATAATATAGGGACCAACAAGTGTATTCCTTATTTTATATGATGACACATATATCAAGTAAAGATGTAATTGTTGGATTCTATTACCATGCAGTTCCTAGCAGATGTGATTTTGAAAAGTGCCGGTGTCCCCCTGAAGACACATATATTGGGTGTAGGACATGTAGCATCTATCAATAGAGAATGGAACGTGAAGGAAGCAGCCAACACACTCATACTTGTGGCTATACTAATAGCCACAGTTACATTTGCTGCTGGTTTCACAGTTCCAGGTGGCGTGCATGGTCCAGAGGATAAAACCCCAAAAGAAAGAGGCAAGGCAGTTTTTGCTTGTCATACATTATTCGACATATTCATGACTTTCAACACAATCGCTATGTATAGTTCCACCTTGGGTTCTATTATTCTTCTATGGGTCCAATTGGGTGATCGTCATTTTGCTGAAGGAGTGTATAGGTTTGCAAAGATTTTTGTTTATGTGGCTCTTTTAAACCATGCATTGCATTTCTAGCGGCTATATGCTTGACAGTGAGCAATAATACATTGCTTACATGTATTCTAAGTGTTATTGGATTCATATTCATTTTCTTCATCTTGTTTGCTCGTATTTTGGGAAGATTCCCACTTGGAATTCGCCTTCCTTTTGTTCGTCAAGCTGGAGGTCTTTTCATCAGGATTATTCTTATTTTGTTTTATGGAAAGAATGATATTTTGATTGGTGAAGAAGGTGGAATCAATCAATGCCATCGAGATGAGAAAGACAACAAAGTCATCAATAAAGTCGACCAAGTAAATCCCTTCGATAGAAAAGATCAAAGCAAAGTCTATGAAGTCCGTCTTGTCAATCGATTTTATGCATTTGGGTCCTACCATTTATCTGGCCCATAGCTATGACTACGGGTGTTCATCCTTGTCCTTATCCCAGTCAGCTTATGACTCGCTTTTTTTGGGCATCACTCGACATCACTTTGATGGGTTTGTCATCCTCTTATGTATGGTGACGCCATTTAAGGCATCTTCAATAAGATGATAAATTTGTGAAATATTATAGCTCATTGTATTGCTTGTAATATAACTGTGACGACTTGATCTGTGATAGAAAAAATATCTTCATGAGCTTAATGTAACAAAAAGTCTTTAATCATGTATTATTATGATGGAGTGCAACAAGTTATCCTTTATATGTCCTTTCTAGTGATGGTAGGCACCTTCAAACTAAGGATTAATTAATTAATTTCCTCCGCCTCAGCCACCACCAATTTTAGACCTAAAATACGTACCATTCTCTTATAACTAATTGGTTAATGACTAATGGAACATCTAACACCTTCTACAAGAATTTTAATCAATCTTTAATCATGTCAACTTATATGAATCAACACTATAACATTTTAACGTTGTAGCAACAGTTAATGTTACAACAAGCAAAAAAGTGTTGCCTCTTCCTAGAACAGGCAACATGCACTAAGTAACATGTAATAATATTGCCTATTATCAAATAGGCTTTTATGCTCGTTGCCTTTTATATTTTACGTAAAGAAACAAAAATTTACTTGTTGCTTTTTATATTTTGCATGGGGACCAAAAGAAGTACTTGTTGCCAAATCATACCCTATTTTTTTCATTCACTACGCGGGGCTTCCTTTTTTTTTTTTATCAGCGCCATTTTTAAGTAATTTTTATACAACAACAACAACAAGCCTTTAACACATTTTTAAGTAATTCTTATAACTTCTATTAATTTTATCCATTGAATAAATTAATTTTATAAAAAATATAATTGTTTTATTATTTACATAAAATACAAAGTGCCTTATCGTGCCTCTTGTGCTCCTCTTACAGAACCTAGACACCCAAAATTGACTTTCCCTCTTGCGTTTCTCCCTGAAAATTTCTTCCAGTGCCTTGCCGTAGACTCTCCAATCCCCACACCCAAAGCTGTATGAATCGGACGCTGATAATGGGGTTAATAACTTTCGACACAGATTTAATTATGTCAATTTTATGAATCAATTAATCGAACCATTCAATGATCAATTTATCATTGCTCAATTGAATTGACTAATTCATATTTTCTTGACTGATTATAGCCAAAATTGGTAATACAAATATCTTTTTGTCTGATCATATTATTTTGAAATGAATTTTAAATGTCCTAATCATGTTCTAAACAATTAAAATGATTTTTTTTCAAAAGACTTCATCACAAAATTTTCTAGTACTGTTTCTAGTTTCCACAGTGAAGGGCGCGAATTTAGAGTTAAATTTTATGATAAAAATAAAATAAAGGAGAGGCAAAGGGAGAAATGGTGGAACTTTGCAAGGGTTTGATATTGGGAGTTGAGGTAGGGGTTCAAGAACGATTGAGAAACCTTAAGAATATTTAAAGTATGACTATGACCTCTAACTCATGTTCAATTTTCCTCTCTTTTCCATGGTTGATGTGAGAACTTGATGTTCTGGTTTGATGGCTAAATTTCCTGTGTTTATGTAATTAAAGGTAAAGTATTACTATACAAGTATTTTAAAGTCTTCAGTGCATGCTTGGCTTTTAAATCTAATTTGATGCACGATGTGACTATGGATATGCAAACTTTAGGTGTTTGTAGTGGGGTTTTGGGGTTCACAAAATCGTTTGGGTTATGAAAGGCAAGATTATGTCCTCTTATACACATTTTAAGTTATGGGAAATGTTAATGGGGGTGGATAAATGCAATGAACCAATGTGATGATGCTCCCAAACCCTCACTACCACAAAAGTGCTAATATAGGATGCCTCACATAGGAGAGTTGTATATACAATTATCCATATGATGAGGCAGAGAAATGGGCACAAGGAACGGGACGGTTGTACAAGGAACCGTCCTATATTTTTAACATATATATAGGATGGTTCCTTGACCAACTTTGCTATATTTGTTTTTGAAATTTAAAAAATTGATTTTTTTAAATATAAACATAGACGGTTGTATAAGATAACTATTCTCTAATTGTCAACTTAAAGGATGGTTCTCTTATAGAACCATCATATATACTCTTTGAAATTAAAATCCCCACCTCCAATTTTGGAACAAAATTGTAGAGATCTCCTCACACATAATGTCTTCTTCAAAACCTCAGAACTGGAGCTCAAAACCTCAGCTCCCCCATATATACCGGCCATTTTAAACAACAAAAACCACTAAACAAAAATAGCATATTTCTCTCATAATTATTTTGAGAGAAAAACATAAAAAACCAAGAAAAAAGAGATTTCTCTTGAATTTTCTCTCAAAAAATGAGTTAAAATTAGCAAGAATTTTTTTTCTCTCTAAATGTTTTGAAAGAAAAAATTTCTCTCCAAACAATCTGAGAGAAAATGTTTCTCACAGACTAATCCAAAATATATTGAGAGAAATTTAGGTTACATACTAATATCAAATTTTATTCCCCCCAATCTCATTCTATGTGTGGGCCATGTTATGTCTTGTCATCCACCATGTGAGCATCCACGTCACGCCATGGGATTTGCATTCAGTGCTCATCAGTCCTGGCACTCCATTTCAGTCTAAATTGATCCGGGTCATTTATTTGAATTAATTTTTAAATATTTTTAATATTATATTTATTGATATAAGAATTTTAAAATTTTAATAAATTTGTTTATTACCAATTTGGCT